CTCGTTACAAACTATTACCAACAATATGCTCTTTTTCGGCACAAAATACATATTTGTTCTCTTTCTATTGACATACATACGCATGTAAAACTACACTCTTGCACACAAATATGCACACTCAAACATCACATCTAAATTGTTTCATTATTTTTCTATCTCTCTCATATTTGGACACACACTTTTCTTTCTCTCTAAATATACAAACAATGTAATTTTTTAAAGATAAAAATATAATATTATCACGATATTTCAATTCAGCATTATAATTCAATTAGTTATCAAACAGCTATAATTTAATCAATTCAGCAACTTAATACTTTTAGAACTTAATTTTCAGATTTCAAACTTCAGTCTTACCAAACGAGCCCATATATTTATGTTACACATTCTTGGAAGTTATGTTACATGTTAGAATAATGAGCATAATTTGAATCATTAAATCCAGCCTAAACATCACCCGCCAATGCCACTGTTTCAACGAGTTAGCGATTCAAGTAAGTACGTGTTCACTAATTGAACCTATGATGATTTGATTATAATAAAATAATATATTTAAATTATTCAAAATAATATAATCATTGAATTGGTTGTTGAATTAATTGGTTTTCTAGATTTTTGCAGTTGAACTAGTGAGTTATTGAAGAGTCATTGAGTTCCTTCCTTGAAGAGTCATTGAGTTCCTTCCTTTTCTAGTCCAACTGCTAACCTAACTTGGTTAGGTGATCAATTCATCAAGTTAATCAGTTGAACTGCTAAATCAATTAGCTTTAATAACAGCGGTTAGAAATAAATAAAATGTTAGTAAACTACTATCTAATCACAAAGGTAGGGGAAGAATACATTTTTCAAACATATATACACACACACACGCATACACACATGAAATAACAGCCTTCCATGAGTTTGTAATGTGATGATTGAAAACGCCTACATTTAGAGTGCCAACTACGATTTATGCGTGGGTTTTGGCAAATTCAATCTCGACTCATAAAAAAATAAATAAAAGTTTCGAGGTTTTGAATTTTGAGCTAACACTACGAGACATAAACTCGGTTCACATATATGTTAAGGTTTCAGGCCTAGCTGGGGCTTGATCCAGGTTCACAATCGATACTTATTTATGTATTCAATATAGATGAATATTATATATTATTAACAAAATTACATATTGATTATAATTTTTATATATTCATTATTAACCTATACATATTATATTATATAATGTACATATTTATATGAATTATTATTCTCAGTAGTTTTATGGTGTAGAACTTTTTCATGAATTTCTATAACTTGCATCAAGAAACAATTTTGGGCGTACGTTCATTGGTTTAGCTTATAATTTTGGCCATGTACAGTTACTATTAATTACTAACTAATTTGTCCTTAATAATTAATGGTCTAGATAGTAATAATTAAAAGTCTTTAATGTATCAGCTTTTAATTATTAAGAGTTATAATCTATACTTATCATTGTCGTTAGGTGATGTGGCCACGAATCATAACCTTTCCTCTATGTTGTTTCATACATGGTGTTTTAGGGGAAAAAAATTGTAAAAATTGTTTCAGCTTTTGATTTGAGAACGTAACTTCGCCTCTCCCTTACTATGATTTATTATTAACTTGAATATTGTTGTAAAGTTTGAATTTTGAATTTTGTTATCCTCTAGTGTATTAACACTAAATTGAAATTCATAGATTATGAAATTTTTTTAATCAAAATCTTATTATGAAATTCACTGATTTAAAACTTCGTAAACTTTCTTATTTTATTAGAAAACATGTCCTTTCATCTTCTTTATTTAAAATTTCTGAAATTTTTCAGCAGAATAATTACATCATCTAAACATTAATTATTTTACATATGCTAGTTAGATTTTGTCTTAGATTTTAATTAACTAATTACTTTAGAAGATGTAATGGAAGAATTGACTGCTGATTTTTTTTTTTTTTTGTATGGAAAAATGATATTCTTCATTAACAACTTTTATTACTCAACTGAATATATATATATATATCAAACTCTTTTAAGCTATTTTAATTCTACACACATAGATAATAGACCATATAAACATAAGAAAACAAACCATTGAACTAAATGTATTAAACATCCATAAGCATCACATCTTGCAGTCTATGAAACGATCCTAAGGCTTCAAAACCTTGAATCACAAAATTGAGATCAAATTCCTAAAAGGATCAAGGTTTTCACTTTTTTAACAACAGACTTTTTCATAGATAATTAAAAAGGGAAAAAACAAATAAGGCCTCCATACCTATCTAGAATACCACAGCCATGAGAGAAAGCAACAATTTTGCAAAGCTTATACATCAAAAGCCACATCAAGGCTTCAAGGATTAAGCAAAAATGTACTTTAAATATGAATGTTAAACAGAAACCAGAAGGCACGTATATAAACACTTACACTCTAGAAGCAAGTACCATTAATAAATTAGCGTAAAAAGAGATATAATTTATGGAAATATATCTACTTTTGAAGATGATTTTGCGTAAATTTCTTGAGGTAATTTTTCATATACTCAGGAACGAAATACAAAAATAATCCTCTCCTGATTATGACCTTGTTTAACATTTATCAACCCATTTCTGGCAATCCCCAAATAGTAAAATAAATTCATCAAGTAATCCACCAGTCTCATTTATAAATCTAAGAAAAAAGTTCAAAAAAATATGTTGAACAAAAAATATTAAGTCGGCATTCAAGCAAGGAAGAAAAGAAGTATGAGCAGTTGGATAAAGTTTTTTTAGTAGTAGAGCAATACAACCATAAAACACATTAAGACCAACGGATGTTGGTGCAAGTGGAAGGGGCTTGCATCCCTTAACCATGAGATCTCGGATTCGAAACCCATGGGAATGAAAAAAATGATGTTGGGAGAGCTACCCCGCTATGGGGCAGACCCGGTTCGAACAGGATTAGTCGCAGACCGTAAAACGGATGCAGACACCTATGGATTATACCAAAAAATAATAATAATAAAACACATTAAGCATAAGCAAATGAACAGTCATTTGTTCCCTTGTCCAAGCCAAGGAAAAGGAAAAAAGCACTAGTTCCAGAAAGAAATTTATCCACAAGTTGTCTGATTCAGTCCAAAAAGAAAATTTATCCACAGTCTCTTGCATGTTTGTGATGAGAAAATGGTCTTTTATTTTAGATAATACAAATCTTGAGCTACATAACCAAATGAATATTTAAACCTTGGTGACAAGGGTTACCTTATCAGTTCAAGATACCCTTAGTCAAATCTATACGTAGTGTTTAGTCACTTCTGTACATAATTTTTAAAATTTTCTTTACTAATCATGTAATGAGAAGGTAAGTAGGGCTATTCAATGTCTAATAGAAAAAATTTAGTGTGTTTGGATAGTAGATTATTGGGGATAATTTTTTTTAAAAAAAATATTGTAACACTTTTCTTATATGATGCATGTTAGATAAAAATATGGTTGGAAAAAGTGTTGATGATGTAAATAAATAATTCACTATCAAAAAAAATATTGAATTCATGTCACATCTTGTTGTATTTAGAAGATAGTATATATTAGAATGACAATAAAATGTGCAATATATATGAATAAATAATATACAATTATAAATGTACAAGAAGTATACATCTTTAGCTATAGACACCATCTATAACAGATTGGAAACCAAAAAAATGGTAATAAGAACCAAATGAATGATATATAACTATATATTGTTTGTCTTTTCTCCTTTACTTTTATAGCACCTTATATACCTTAGTGGAACATTGACAAGCTTAGAACCCCTGTATTTTGGTAACTACACCATTTTTTTTTTTTTACTATAAAAGAGAAGGCTCAAACCTGAAACCTCTCACTTATACTTCCTCTCGGCCTCTCCCGCAAACCACCCAACTCATTCTTTTCCTCCCCCTCCCCCACCCCAACCCCTATTACTTATAATCAAGAATGATCTCCTTTAATTATTCTTTAACTGTAGAATTTTCCTTATTGTGAATCGCTTCCATCAATTAAAGTCTTATTTATAAAGCCACAAAAAATAAATAAATAAATAAATATCTATGTACCAAATACCATCAATCTTATCCGTATCTACTTATTTGTTTGTATTATTGCTCTTAGAATAACTTTGAAGTATAAAAAGAGAAGATGTACTAAGATTTACATGGTAAACAATGGGAGAGAGGAACTAAGTAATAGCTAATAACAGCACATGGAGCAACAAAAACAAAAAAACAAAACTATGGGCAATGTGTATTTAACATCCAAAGAATCAGAAAGAATTGATCAATAGGATAACAAGAAGTATATCTTGACTATTGGCTTATTAGATTCTAAAACAATACGAATGTAAGTTTAAATTAATTTATTAGTGTAATATTGTTTTAAGTTTAAACTAACTAATAATTTGAGATTAAACTGAGGAACCGCTAAGGAACTTTATTTGGTTGGTACATATTCATATCTTTCTTCAACTCGATCATGCGATAAAAAGTTCTAAATACTGATAGAAGCAAATAGAAAAAATACAAAATTAAGTTGGCAAAAATTTTGTAGGGTGTTCATACCGAATTAAAATTCTTTTAGGGTCAATATCTCCTGAGTATGGAACAATTTAGTAAACCAATTCGATGAGAGCCATACTTGATTTTGTACTCTACTACAGATGTATATAGTAGCAGAAGGCATGATGGAATTTTTTCAACAAAGAGTCAATTCATATATCTTTATAGATAACTGTTTTTATGCACTGTTAGCGTGAAAATTATTTTATACTAGCAGACTTGAATATATGCTATCATGTACAAAAAGTGTATTTTAAATTTAAACAAAGACTGTGCGGTGTTCATCTAAATTTGCTAGTATAAAAATACCCTTACACTGAAAGTGTATAAAGATGAATACTATACCTTTTATCTCATTTTTTATGATAATAACTAAGAGTGATCAACCCACTCGATTTTGGCTATCATTTATTGTGATAATGGAATTATAGCTGAACAAGAGAACCATTTATTGTGATATGGATACTTCTAACCAAATCCATATTGCATGGGCAGTTTTTGAGTATTAAGAAAAACTTGGGGAGTTAATTAGGAAGACATGAAATTGTGGAGAACAGGGAATGGCTGTGGATTACGCCCTTCAAATATATGCCACACATTCTTCTTCGAGTGCTAACTGAGACGTGGACTTCTGCCATAATGCATAACTCTCCATCTCCATTTGAAGACTTAAACAATCCAGTACCCTATATATTTCCTCCATCCCGAGTCTAAAGCTTCTCCAGCTAAGAATGCATGCACTTTCTTCTTCACCTCAATCCAACTCCGTCCAGGGCTTTTCTTCAGCCCCACTGTCTTTGCTGAGTGTCTTACTTTAGCAGAGTCCTCCCATCTTCCCTGTGCAGCATATAAATTAGATATCAACATGTAACTGCCAGTCATCTCAGGTTCAAGACCAAAAATTTGAGCAGCAGTCTCTTCTGCAGCATCTGTATTTTTATACATTTTACAAGAGTTCAATAGAGCTCCCCAAACACATGCATTCGGTTCAATTGGCATGTTTTTCACAAAGTCAATTGCTTCAGTACTAAGCCAGCACGGCCAAGCAGATCAACCATGCAAGCATAGTGTTCCATCTGAGATTCAATTCTAAAACCCTAACCATCTGGTCGAAAAGCTTGCGACCCTCTGCAACAAGACCTGCATGACTACATGCAGAAAGAACAGCAACAAATGTAACCTCATCAGGTTTAAATCCTATGTTGATCATGTTATAAAAGAACTTTAAAGCAGTGTCACCAAGTCCAAGCATCCCATACCCAGCAATCATTGTATTCCACGAGAATAGATCCCTAGTACCTAATCCTTCAAATACTAAATTAGCTTCCTCGGGGCAAGCGCATTTCATATACATATTGATCAATCCATTTCCTACCAAGACTTTTTTGTCTAGCAGAGTTCTGGTGACATGGGCATGGATTTCTTTCCCTAGACAATGTGCCGATAACCCCGCACAAGCAGTCAAAATACTAGCAATTGTGACAGGGTTGCCTGCTACTTCAGCAATCTGCATTTGCCGAAAGATTTCCAAAGACTCCTCAAACCTTCCCTTTGCGGCAAATCCACCAATAACAGCACTCCAAGTTATTACATTTGGTTTTAACTCTGCATAACCATCATGTAACTTTCCCATCTGTGAGAACAGAGCAAAAGCCTCGTCACATAACCCTGATTCAGCATAGGATGATATCAAAGCATTCCAGCTGACTATATTCTTTGATTCCAACCCTGAAAATAAACTCTCTGCCTCTTTCGCATTACAGTTTTTTCCATACACACATATCAACGAGTTTACCACAAATGAATAGTTGGAGAACCCACCCTTTAAAACATATCCATGTAAGTTTGCAGCCTTGCAAAATGCATTCATATCAGCACAAACTGACAGAACCACTGCAACCGCTTCAGCCGTAACCTCAACGCCTTTCTCCCTCATCATTCTATACAATCTTAATGTCTCCCCACCACGCCCACATTTACAAAAACTTGATAACAAAGAAGTCCAAGTCACACAATTAGGTCCCACCCTTCTAATTCCATCCTATCAAACATCTTAGAAGCATTTTCACAGTCAGAATTATTTGCAAAACCAGACACCATAACATTCCATGAAATTTGAGTTCTCACAGGCATTCTATCAAATAATTTACACGCAAAATCCATTCGCCCAATCTTTCCATACATTCCCAACAACTCATTGACAACATGCATGTGATCTCGGAACCCCAATTGGACCACGTGGCAATGAACACTTGTACACAGTTTATAGTTACTTTCGCCCACCATGGCCCTACCGCTAGCCTTTACAATTAAAGGAAAACCAAACCCATCCGGCAAAACCCCAACTTTTCTCATCTCACAGTACAGCCGAAGCGCCTCGTTATACTCCCCCTGCACTACATTAGCCCTTAATATTGAGTTCCACAAAAGCATATTTCTCGTAATGAAACTTTCATCAAGCTTAGAAATTGTGTCAAACACCTTGCGTGCATCCTTAAGAAGCCCAAATTTTGAGTACACAGACACAAGTCTGGCAGCCAAGAAAGGCGACAAAAACGTTGAAGTGTGAATGATCTGAGAGTGGGTTTGCTTGAGTTGTCTGAGATGGTCTCCATTGATGCATTGCTGGAGAAGGTGATCAAAGAAATCCACAAGCCCACTATCAGCCGCATTGATTCCAGTCTTGCTATTTTGCCCAATAGATGAAGTGGTGAGACAACGAGAAAGGGAATGGAAGGGACGCAATACTGAATTTGATGAATGAGAAGCTATAGTGACAGCAGCATGAAGCATTAATTCACCTTTCAGGGTTGTAGATATGCTCAAGCAGAATAAGAAACACTACTCCATATGATTTTTACACCACCCTTGTACGAGTTTGGAGTTTCCTGTCCAAGCCCTGGGAGTCACATCACATATGGTCTCACCAGCATAAACTTGCATAAGCACACTGTAGCATATTCCCAGGCACAATTTCAGATAACATGACAATCAAAAAGCCAGAGACCCAAGGTGAAATGGGCTACGCTGTCCTGGTTGCCGCAAATATTTAGAATTTCAGGGATTTAAATAACAGTAAAAAGCGGAGGGTAAAGACAATCCGAATCCCAGGCAGCACACCGTCGAGTGATTGAGAAAAAAATGACACACCAATGAATGGAGTGTGGGTTACTACTAGGCGTGGTTACAAGTATACAATGCTCAACATTTAGGTGGTAGCTCCAGCCTTGACACAAAGATGCATTAGACAATAGCAATGGTAGAATGACAGAATACTAAACGCTGCTCTGGTAAAATAGAAATTCATATTGAATAATCAAAATTGCATAATGTACACTTTACATACAAAATGTCATTCCCATTGGTTTTATAGCAAATCACCATGGGGAATCTTTTTTCGCCTATTGCACTATGTACTAATGAAAATGAAATTAGAGCCACTGGACTCATAAGAAAAGAAAATTAGCAAAAAGAAAAGATAACTAGAAAGATTCCATGTATTTGATTGGCCAAGTCCTGTCCTACACATCTTGAGGGATCCTCAAATTATCTCTGCCTTGCCACTGATTAGGAGGACAATTTTCCTCTGAAAAAGCAGTCCAAAATTTTCAAAACACGGGAAAAAACTATCTGCAAAATTTGTGGTCCCCCGGACAGACAGTTTCCGGCAAATATCCAAAAGCCAAACAGCTAGGAAAAAACTGCCCACTTTGCATTGATCCTCAATCATGCATGAAATCCTACTTGATACCCGACGAGAAACCATGTCTTGGGGGAAGCCAGCCTGATGCGTTCTGAAAGGCCTCCCATTACTGAAGTGTCTGTTGTCTGACGGAGCTGCACCAAGAATCCCAGAAGCGTTTGGATCAGGTATACGCGTACCATTACTTGAGAGTCTTTGATAAGGAGACTGAACAGGCTGACCATAATTCCTATAGAAAGCCATTATTGCTCTCTCGCATTTAATTCCTATATACTCACTTCCCACCACTTGCCAATTAATGCACGTACGCTATAACCAATCAATCAATGCTATATCCTTTGTTAGTTCCTCCAAAATCCCTCCAAAATACACAATCTGCACACAAGAAGTCAATATATAGCTGTTTAGCACGTAGAAATCAAAACATACCTAAAACATTCACCCCCCAGAAAAACATTTGGATGCAATTCAAAAAGGCATATGCAGCTGCAATTCTAACTCTGCCCACCAAAAACAGAGCACATAATAAACACAACCAAACTCACCATCGTAGAGAAAAATCATACCCAAAAGTACGGTCAGAGTACCAGGTAGTTCAAATTATAAACAATAGACCAGAAATATTCAAAAAAATGGATCGCTCAATGAAACACCACTCTATAAGCAAAAGAAATTCAACCTCTTCGGAAAATAATAACTATCTATAAATTGTGCAGGATAATCCTAACTCCATACCCGAAAAAAAAAACCCTAATTCACCCACAAAAGCATCGGAAAAGCCTTGATTTATACCAAAAAGGAGAAAATGAACCCATTTCATTAAAACCCGCCCACCTCCGACGAACTTTCGACGAATTGAAGCCGAGAATTGACGAAGGAAAGCTGCCAAGGTTTTACAACCTTTTGCACGCCGGAAAGTGACGTAAGCGGGAGAAGCAGGAGAGCAGCCGGCGGCGGAGAAGGGAGGTAAAAAGAGGAAGGAAATGAAAAACGGCGTCGCTTCGTTTCTGAAAACGGGAGGTTTTTTTTCTTTTTTTCGTTTTCTTGATTTGGTTTGGTTACTATTAGTTGTTTTTTATCTTTACACGAAATATATATATAAATATATATATATATATATATATATATATATATATAGGGTTAATTACATTTACCTCCCCTAAGCTTTGGCCAAACTACCAAACAAACCTTGAGGTTTGGCCAAATAACAATCGACCCCTTGCAATAAACAGATGTTTATCAAAAACCTCCCTAACGTCCTAAGGTGTTACAAAATCTGCTGATGTCAGCACAAAGCTATTGTGTTAACCCAAATATATCCTTCGGGTGCCCATTTATCAAGACAAACTCTTAACTTCTTTTTTTTCGAAATAATAAAAAAGCGTTTTCTTTTTCCATTTCTCTATGGTATACTAACAGAATTGCTGCACCTTAAAGGGAGAAAAAAAAAAGACTTTGTTGTAATGCTGTATTTTGAAACCGCAATTGTTAAAAGAAAATGGGAAAATTAACCAAAAATTGTCAAAAAGAAGGAACGAAAAGAAAAAATGGCAAGGAAAAAAAGAAAGGAGTGAAATAAAATCTAGAAAAAAAAATCCCCTCAAAAAATTGCCAATATAAAACTGTCTTCCTATCCCGGACTGCAAAATGGCCTTTGAACGCATGTTCTACTCAACTGGATCCTCTCGTGGCTTCCGCTTCCATGAATTACCTTCTGATACTAGTGATCAAGTGACTCGAACAAAGCATCTAGCTGTTTGGAGATTGCCTGGTGATGGGTTTGTGATTGGGAGGTTTCCAGGAAAATAGATGGGGAGATAAGATCCTATTCCATGCTCACTTTTCCCACGACTCCATTGTTTTGCTGCAATAGTGGTGTACAGGATGACAAGTTTTGCTTCGAATCAGGTCCAAATTCTAGTTTAGAGTCATTTTTTATGTTATACGCTCTATGACAATTCTAGTTTAGGAATTTGTGGTTTGAAAGGAAAATGGGTTTTCAATTTTTAGGGATTTTTAACGAAGTGAGTTTTGAGGATTTTGGTATTTGGCTTTGATTAGGGAATCGTTGACATCTCCTTCTATAGCTATAGGTTGGTTTGTTCTTCGTGGGCATTATTTCCTGTGAAGTTCATGAATTCTGATGGATTTGGGTGCCAGTGGAGAAGAAGGCCACAACTGGTTACTCTTATTTGGTAACTTTTCAATCAATTTTTGCGAAACTTGAGGTTCAAATCATGATCCACTCTAAATTTTGAAATCATCCTATAACTTTGGCAAGATTTCGCTATTCAGTGGTGATAGCCGGAGGTGGAGGTGGAGGTGGCAGTTATGGCAGGGAATTGCCGCTTCCATGGCAGCTACTTTAAAATATTTTAAAATTTAATGAGGAAGAAGATTAATATAAAATTAAAAAGAATTAAATGGATTTCTTAAAAGTAGAAAACGGTATTTAGGTATTGTCAAATTCTTTCCTCACGGAATTGAAAAAAATATATTAGTCCAGTTGATACCAATTGGGCATTTAGTCTTTATACCAATTCCATCCAAAATATTTAACAGACGTTACTTAAAAAGGGGTATCTGTTATTTGGCCAAACCTCAAGGTTTGTTTGGTAGTTTGGCCAAAGCTCAGGGGAGGTAAATGTAATTAACCCATATATATATATACCTCGCCTAAGGTTAGGCCAAACTACCAATCAATCCCTATGATCTCAAAAAATAACAGATACCCCCTTCAAATTTATTTTTGTTTAACAAAAGTCACCCTATCATCTAAAACCGTTAGGATTCTACTAGTGTTGGCCAAAATTAAAGTGAAAGTCCAAAAATGTCCTTTAAGACCCACATGCCATTATGTGTCTATTATTTTATTCCGAAAATAGCCTTTCCATCCGGATAAAGATTAAACGATGAAAATACTCTAAAAAAATCCGTCTGAATGTGGTCTCTTCTAGTTGTGCTTCAACATAAACGGCTAGGGAAAATGACCAATTGTGTTTTTCCAAGTGATTGAGCACTTAATTTATCCCTTGAATCTTTTTTTTTTTAAGTTTAAATCAATCAAATTTTGCAAAATTTTAGTATTATAATGCACATCTCTATACCTGGAGATTAGTCATTACAATAGTAGGCCAAATGTAAGAAACTTACTCCAGAACAGCCAAACATAGCATCAATATTGGGAACTAATCTTCCAAATTCTCCAAAAATTACTTCAGATGAAATACTCAAGCATCTATCTTAATGTTAGATTTGCACCAGAATGCATATTTTTTTGGAAGTAAACATTATGAGAAAACATGCAAATGCTCTTCACCAGAATGCATGTTTTTATTACATTATTAGCAACACTAGATTAATAGCTGCTGATAGGACTTATGAAACATTGCCTAAGACCTAGACAGCTATCCAATTATTACTGATACCACAGAAGACTTGCTAAAAGCATTAAGTCAACCAAGTTTGCAACCAAAATAAAGTACTAGTAACATAGGACTCAATACATGACATATTAAGATATAAAAGATTTTCCAGCAACTGGTGCAACAGATGAGGTAAAAAGGCAGCCATTAGAATGTGCAAATGTCTCTTCTCCATTAGAATTTGCAACTGGTCTTGTTCCTGCCATAGTTGAAGCCTCTGCAGTTGCTAATGAATTAGGAGCAACATTCAATGCTGAGTTTTTGGTAGCTTTTGCCTTCAACACCTTTCTGGCAAGATCATTACCCATAAGCATGGATGCACTTGAACTTCCAAGCATCTCTTCTAATGCTCTAGTATTGGTACCACTTATGTAATCTATTGACCCCTAAGTATGAAAGTCTTTAAATAAATTAGTGAAAAGTCCATTTATTGGTCACATAATTCTTTAGAGAGTAAGTAATATAACTTGAGAAGTTTGAACAGATTCCTGTGTTCCTCCAAAAGGAATGTTATCCACAATTGACACCTGTGTTCCTCCATGAAATAGTCCACGTGCAGCAGCTGTTGTTGCCTCAAATTGTTGTCCAGACATTTTAGAACACATTTCATTTTTATCTAGATTCGGCTTCAAGGAAAATGAAATGCTAAAGTGAGTAAATCTTAATGAGTTTAAAGATGTACCATCCTTCCAAGCTATCGTCACTTCAACAAGCCAAACAATACTACTACAATCTTTTATTTTGTTTTGGTTATCATCGGGATTAGAAAGTAAAATATTTAAATAAACAAGAAGGAGTAGAATGATCAAACTTTAAAGATTAAAGCTTTGAACCATGCATAGGAGAAAAGGTTAATATAGAAGGAGAGAGAGTGTAGGAGTATGATGATAAATAAGATGATTGCTGGAATAGTGGTTGGAATAGTGGCAAATATATAGGAGACCTCTATAGCTTTTCCTGCCAAAAGGCTATTTGAGTAATTTTAAAATAATTTTTTTTTTGTTTTAGAAATTGATCAGACATGTTGAAGGGCATTTAGTCTTTTTCCTTACTTCCATTAATCACAAGTGACGAAAGTTATTATGAGAGGGTATTTGTTATGTTTTTAAACCACGGGGATTGATTAGTAGTTTGGCCTAACCTTGAGGGAGGTAAATGTAATTAACCCATATATATATGTATGTATTATTTTTTTGAGTGATTTTTCTCCGATTATAATTTGTCTCTCCTATATATATACGATTTTGATGATGGATTGTGGATGAAATATGGGGTAGTAAGTGCTAACCTACGCCGATGGAGGACAGGATAAATATCTATTTACCGTTATTAATCCTTCAAGAAAGAATAGCTACAAAGAGAGATAGAAGGAGGGCAAAAGATTTACTGGGAGTGGCTTGTTCGATGATGTCCAAATATTGAGAAAGAGAAAAATTGAAAATTCTTCGTAGAGAGAGAAGAAGGAGGAGGCCCTTTTTGTGTATTGATGGAGAGTTGCTTTTCGGTGTATTTGGATTTTGGGGTGAAGCCACCAATTTGGTGTTCTTTTGTGAAATGTTACGTGTACCTTCTATTTTTGGTATATAAAGGGGTGAAGGAATTATTTATGTTTACGTGTACTTGTAGGAAATATATTTACTCTTAAGTTTTGAATAAGGTGTATAAACATATAAGTTTCTCATTTGAAAATTGTGCATATGAAGCAGGTCTGCAATTGAAGTGATTCAGAAAAATGGAGTTGAGGTGAGGTTAACTTGTTTGGATTATTAGTTTCCGCAGAAAATTTTTATGTTT